GATTGTGGTCACCTCTCAACTGTCTTTCTCTAATATCATTCTTCTTGACCATTGGACTTTTTATATGGGCCGTGTTGACCCATGACGGAACAGCATGTGTTGCACTCTTTACTATGTCCCTTGCCTCATCAATCGTTGGTTACGCATCTTATTGGTCACCCGCTCTCATGAATCGCAACAACAACGTCAAAGTTCTGTCGGGCGATGTTGTGATCCGCACCAGGGAAGGAGCATTCATCGTAGTTAAGTGCAAGGAAGAAGTTGCCCGAGAACTATATAACGGAACTGAGGAATGCCAATACTATGTTAACACAGATCCCTACCGAGTGCTTGTTGGCATCGGTACTTGTCTACTCATGGTTTCGGTCGTCCTTCTTGGAAATTGTGATTTCCAAATGCAAATCTCTATTGGTGCGTCCTATATTGTTCTCAACGGTGCATACTGGGGGGTAGCTTTGATGAACAAAAGGAGATTGTGGGATCTGTCGAGCTATAAATGGAAGGATATCACGCCTGAAGATGCAAAAGGAGCAAATCTGGAGCAGAACGCGGACGATGTTGATGGAAGGCCTTCTTTCACCAGAACATTGTGGTACGCCATCCGAGAGACAAAGAAAATCGGATGGGTGAAGACGAGTGGGGCTGCGCCTTCGACACCGAAGTGGGAGAAATGGCTAAAAGAAGCAGAAACCGCTGCTATCGAGAGAACAGAGGGATGGCGTGCTGTCCATCAAAAAGATGCAATTGTTGGCGAATCAGATTCAGTGCCGCAAGCTGAAGCAGCATTCAAAGATACGGCTGTCGAACATGCGCCTGCAGTCCAAGTTCCGATGCAAGACCGGAACGAAATTGAGTGAATATGCGACATGCGCTTATTACCTATAGATATAGAAAATCGCCTACTTCCAGCACCAACTCACGGGCCTGATGGCGCAGTAGGCAAGTCCGTGTTCCAAATGAAAGCCTGTGGGTTGGTGTGTAGAGTAGAGTGTAGAGTGTAAAGTGTAACAGAAAAAAGCACGGAAAGCCGGGTTTCTGGGTCGCCCCCAGTTTTGCTATTTTGATGGTCTATTTTATTTTTATTTTTTGGGGGTCTGGAGGACATCAGATAATGGATAAGATGGCTTGAGATGAGTGGTAATAATTTGAGCGACGTGTTCGAGATACCCTGATATTGAAGAGATGACTTTATGGTCACTTTGAAGAATGATTAATAAGTGGATCATTTGAATTGGGAAATTTAGCGATGCATTCTTGGCTGTTTTTTGTAGGAGGGAAGAGATCTCGGTGCGTTTTTAGGGTTACTTAGATATCTCGCCTTTACTTTTACTTCTATCTAGTAGTAAGATCTTACATTCATTGGTTCTCATCATTGCTAGGTCATTTTAGAGACTAGAAGAGATGGATCAATAAAACTTCATGGACATGTTCAGATGACAATGGGTGTTGTTGGATCGAAGAACTCTCTCGTGTTCGTGCGCTGGTCTAGACTACCTATCACCTTTCTTATTGTTTGAGTTTCAGTGCCCTGGACTTGTCTTGTCTGTTCATCTTTAATATCGCTATGTTCTCTGCCTACGTCTCATTTTTCCCCATTTCATCTCAGTTTCTGATAGTATTTGGACTCAAGTTATATTCACTTTCTGGCCCCTCGCTTCCCCACTTTCTGCGCTACATATCTCCACTTTGTATTCCTCAAATTGTTTCCTTTCTCATCTTACTTCTCCATCTCCAAGCCATCTACTTCGATCTCTCGATCTTGGTATCTTGACTTTCACTCCTCCTCCATCAACTCAATCCAACAGTCTTCAAAGATAGAAGAATCAAAACAACAATGGCCACCTCAAGTGAAGCAAGAGTGAGTATCCTGTTAAGATTCGCTACTGGCACAATACTGATAGAGTGATAGAAACCTCATGATATAGTCATCGATCCGGAAGGCGATATATCGATACATCTCATCAAGGAGGAGACCGCAAAACACCCGGTAACTGGTGAGAAGTCCACCATTGAAACTACAATCGCCTGTTACAAGGTCTCGAGGAAGATTCTCAGTGAGAGTTCTCCAGTATGGGACGCCTCACTTCGAGGACACTTCCGAGAGAGCAGATCATCCACCGTACCCGTCTATTTTGGCACGTTGAAGAGTTTGGAACTTTGGTTTCGCATCGTTCACGATGTCATGGTTGATGAGATGTACGATATTAAAGTCGTAGACGTATATGAGGCCATTGAAGTGTGTGGAAACCGCGAATGGGACATCTTCAAGTTGAGCAAGTCGACCTGGGCAAGAGAATGGATGAATCGTCAGAAGCACAGGGAGTTGGATCTTGATGGGATGTGCCGACTCATCTATCTTGCCAAGGAACTGGACTTCCCCAGAGAGTTCATGTACATGACTCGGAAATTGGTGTATGGAACAGCAGAGCACATCAAGGATAGAAACCCAACAAATCATCAACATCTTCATCTTGATCACACTGTCATTAGTAAGTTGGCTCATCATTCTTATTCGAATTGATTTCTAATGTGCAATACAGATGCACTCAACGGCGCCAAGGGTAATCTTCGCTGTAAAATCCTCAAAGGACTCTTCACACCCGTCGGTGCGTTCCTTGGGCAGAGATGCGAATGCAAGAAAGATTCTCTTTACGAATACTGCACTGGCCTCTCGCTGACCGGAATCTGGCCTTTGGAAACTCACATGAAGAAGTCAGCCCAGGAAATCCTCGATACTTTCGATGACTTCCAGTGCGATATACCCGAGAATGCGTGTAATGCATGTCGAATTCGTCTGAGTGATTCATCTATTGAGAGAACTGGTGAGCAGATTCAAGAGCATTTTGATGGTCTCTGTCTTGATTGTATGAGCATTTCTAAGCCAAAGGATGGTAAGAATGTCGATGCCGCTTACTGGCAGCATGATACTCTTAGGCAGTATAGCATGGGATGCAGAGTGCAACATGGTCAGCCGACATGGTATTGGTCATTCATGGGCCGGAGAACTCAGATGCAGGCACACCAGGCGGCGAGACAAAGATAGAGAATGTTTGGATGGTCGATTTCGGGAAATGGAATGGTGGTGAGATATTATGATGCGTGAGGGAAGTTTCATGGTGGATTGCATATCAGTTATGATAGGTAAAAACTTTTCGACCGTTGAAGACGAGTTAGATGACACACAAAAGTACAGCGTTGGTTTTTCTAGTTTCAATGAATGATTTCTTCACATAATATGGACCGCAGACTAAACTAACATCTAAATTCTTCATGCACCTTCATGTCCTTAAATAACACCAAGGAAGGCAAGACCGCATACTACCCTGACCACACGGCGAGCCCCTTTTCACCTCATGTTTCCAAGCAAAAAAATCATATCAGCTCATCACTATTCAAGTTCTGGATCGATACTCCGTCATCCGTATACTCTATCACTTGGCATGTTGTAGTCTTGCAACCACATGTACAGTGCCAGTAGATCAATACTCGTAGAAAATTCATCAGAGTATATGTAACATTCTCGAACCTCGCAGTAATTAAAGTACAGGTAGCTGCCACTCCCATACAAACTCCGAGCAAGAAGAAGAAGAAGAAGAGGAGGAGGAGGAGGAGGAGAACGACTTGAATTACTAATGGTACTATGCATACAAGTTATTCCGGAATTCGAAGTCAGCGATAAAAAAAATGCTATGGGAACAAGACACGTTATACATCGCTTTCTGTAAGGAGGCCGAAGTTCACTAGCGGTCATCCCATCGTAATCTCGTAGGTGAAGTGATTCTTGTGATATATCTGAATTTAAAGGATATGAACCGGATACAATGCCTATAGATACTCTAAGCATTCGCACAAGATTATCTGGAGAAAGTGCAATGGCCCGTGAATTCCGTTCCCCCTTCACTATGTTCTCAGAAGACAACGAAGACCGAACGAATCACAAGTCGTTCGCTTTCGATCTTGGGTTGTTTTCTCTCCACTGTATCATCTCTCATCAGAACTCACGGAATCATCTAGCGAGTCCACGAAACTCTCACAAAATGTCCATGTAAGTGATCTCCTATTCTGATTGATCGATCTCTCCAAAAAGACCTTAGACAATTAGTTTCGCCCATCTCCTCGATCCTTCTTGTTTAGTAGCATTGATCCCCCAATCCCATTATCCCTCTTCATCCAAATTCTCTTCCATGGCAAGTAGACTATTCATATCATCGACACTCATTGAAGACTTTGAAGCTGGGCTACAGAAAGAGAGCAGCTATTCTTAGGAGATAATCGATATGGCTCTTATTCTGCTAGCTAGCGCAGCCAGAGTATCTAGGTCCTCTGCTGGACTAGACATCCTGATACCGACTTTTTTCTCGTTGTATGGAGAAGTTTGTGGATTTGATTTTGGTTTGGTGATAATGGAGGAAGGATCTATGTGGGTTGTGAAACCAAGCATAATAATCACAACAATTGGCAGTCACTGGCTCTTCAGAACGACGGAGTGATTTGCTCCAAGCGTTGATGCCAAAAAGATGCTCATTCGCTCATTTCTGGATAGCATTAGTGGCAAGTTTTAGATAGATTGGATGGTGAGAACACTTAAGCTACCCCGCGTGTGTCTTGTAATCGCTCTCTTGATTTCGCGTTGCGTCTCGGTAATATCACCGAACACTTGAGCCCACAGTAGAGCCACTCATCATCGACGTGCCAGCTAAAGCTGCCAATGAACAAGTTCTCGGAATCACATGCTCTTCAATAGTCAGTCTTCTCGGTCTTTGTTTTCTCGGCAATTGCCTCTGGGCGGAGATTGCCTTGAACCTTGCTGGTTTTTATTGTAGTACTCTTTTGACTGACAGAGGGAACAAATTGGATTGTTCTATGCATGATGATAAGAAGAATGGTGCTAGTAACGTAGGCAAATGCTTTCAGTGATGTTGGTGTTGTGGCACGTGGTTTAATTTCACAAAAATCAAAGTTTCAGGGGGTTGAAGAAAAAGGAAACCAGAAAATTTTCAGAGGAAAAATATTATCTTCAAATTACTTTGTCAGTTGCTTAGTCGGGCTGGATGCCAACCAGACTGTGAGTACATATTTTGGCCGATCAAGCAGGTATCACAGCCCAAGCACCTCTCCATAAGTAGCATAAGTAATTTGCCTTTCACATATTATAGGGAAACCAGATGTCAAGGGTATCAAAACAATCATTATGGTAAAATACATACATGAAGACACTATACAATCAGAGCTTGCTTGTTGGTTGAAAGAGAGATGAAGCTTTGTTCAATGTCTCCACGGCCTCCTTCTCGATTCTCTTACAAAGTACCTCGCACGTTGGGATGTCGTGAATGAGACCAATTACTTGGCCTGCGGTCCAAACCTAAAATATAATTAGTTTATGAGTTATGTGTGTTTGGATGTTGATACGTACTCCGTAGTCGGGATCTCCAGTGGTAAAGACTTCTCTACCTCTCTTACCGCTCACGTAAGGAGCAACCTCCGCAAACTCTCCAGTCTTGCTCTCTTGTTCAATCTTTACTGCCTGTGCAGTAACCTTGTTTTTATACAAGCGAGATGTGTTCTTCCATCTTCGAAGAACGAGCTGAGTATCAACTTCAGAAGCCTTGACAATCTCTTTCTTGATGTTCTCGTGTATTGGTGCCTCGACGGTACACATGAATCGTGTTCCCATATTGATACCTTCAGCACCGAGCGAAAGCGCAGCCGCAAGACCTTGGCCATCGGCAAATCCACCAGACGCGATGAAGGGAACTTTTAGCGATTGTCTAGCTCTGCTTAGGAGGATGAAGTTCGTGATATCAGTTTCACCAACATGCCCAGCACATTCGAAACCATCGATGCTCAGAAAATCAACCCCAAGCTTCACTGCACTCTCTGCATGTCTGATGGTCGTACATTTGTGTAGAATGATTATTCCAGCAGCCTTCAACATCTTTATGACAGGGCCGGGACTGTTTCCTGCTGTCTCGACAACTTTAATTCCCTCATCGATAGTGACTTGTGCGTATGCACCGTAACTGGAAGAAATCACGGGTCAGTTTGATTTTGCAAGTTTCGCGGCTTGACGACCATGTTGTACTCGCGACACACAGACACGGAGCAAACGGCGAATCAACATGAGATGAGATTGAGATCTGCGGAAACTTACTCCGGGGATTAATCGAAGGTAACAGTGTGATATTTACACCAAATGGCTTCTTCGTCATTTCCCTACATCTTCGGATCTCCTTGCGTAGATCTTCTGGAGTGGGTTGCGTTAAAGCTGTGAGGATACCCAACCCTCCGGCATTGCTCACGGCGCTTGCTAACTCCGCATATCCCACCCATTGCATACCACCTTGGACAATAGGTACTACATAGTCCCGAATCAGTGATCTGTCGTTCGGGAGAGTACATGAGGGTGTAACTTACATTCGATACCCAAGGCCTGGGTGAGTTTCGTGTTGAAAGGCATGATGTCGAGGATTGCTAACGAATGATGCGATGAGATGTAGGTTTGTCTGATCTAACAAGTGTATCGGATTAAATGTATGGTCTATTCTAAAATCTCTCTTTATGTCTAATAATATGATTCAAAAGAACGATTGTGATTCGAAGTCTAAGAACAAAATATGTATGGAAGATGTTAAAATAGTAAACGGTTGGTATTGTAGGTGACAGGCTCCTTTCCCCACATTCTTTGGACCGAGGCACGGCAACTAGGCCTAGGCTGTGCCGGTTCTCTTCAGATTACGGTAATCAGCTGGATCCCATCTCATCAGATTATTGTTCCGATGTATAGCCTCTTTGTACAGTCCAAAGTAGATTGTTGCTTTTGTTGCTTTTGTTGCTTTCGTATCTTCTTCCCAAAATTCGCCTGTCTCATGATTGACCATCCGTACCTCAGGACAACATTCTTTCTACTTCAACACTGTGAACATAATTTGGTGGTGTATCATACAGTCACGTGTCGTGGTTCTAGACATCGAAGAGGTCGCACCGCCAATTTCACATATTTCACATGAAATTGGGGATACAAATCACTGAGACGAGTACGGAAGACTGTTCCTGATCGTCAAACCACCAGAACCTGCCGAGTAATATAAATTACATGCTAGTAAATGTCGTCCGACAATGGCATGATATGGATGAGTAACTCTTCAATTATCCTCAAATATTCGAACACTTGGGCAGCAACAGATTCTAGATCCAGTCAATGCGCTGTCGAAAATAGGGCTGCTCAGGTGTTGATAGACAAGCCTTGAGTATACTTGTCCTTCTCTCACGCCGCCACGCAATATTATCTATGAACAGAATGTTTCATTGTTAGGTTGTGTACTTCACGGCTCCCCTCATTATCAACTCCCTTGTTGAACGGGAAAAGCTCCGTCGATCCAACGTATTCTACGGCGGTTAAGTAAGCGGAGCACCCGACGGGGTGCGGCATGTCATCCTCTGGGTAGTTTTTTGCGGGCTCTCTCTATTCTACGAAGTAAGCTGTTCTTTTCTTTAACCTTTATCGAGGTGACACAATCATTCCACTTGAGAATCCCAATTGGAAATATCTGCCGTGCGACTGTTATTTCCAAGTCTTTCTAGACGAAATGCAAGCATCTACCCGTTCTCCAGGTTTCATGAAGCTAGACACACCCTTTGCTCATCTTCATAAACGTCTGATCCGGGCTTCTGGAATCTGGTTGGCACATTAGGGCGGTGAAGTGAGAAGCGGTGGACTCACCGTTGAAGAAGCCGCAGGGCTGAGTGCTTGATTCAATGTACAGATGTACTTATCCGTTGCTATCACTGGGGTGTCTACTTTTACCCCAACCTACCCTGAAGATCATTGATCAATATGTATAAATATGTATGTAAGCACCCGTTCCTGCAGACACCTCGATCTCATCTCTTCGGAATCTACAGTAGTGGGAAAGAGAAGGAAATTGAAGATTGAAATCTGGCATACCATTACAACTTTTCCAGTGCTCCGAATTGACCAATCATATCGTACGACTTCCGGGTACTGTATGGCTTTGTCTATTATGGTATATCTATATTTGCAAAGATTATAGAGACGGGGGTAGAAAGTCCCAGGTCCTACAAACTTATCATTTTGGGGAAAAAGTAAAACAAATCTGGTGAGAGATATCAAGTCTCAGTACTCAATCAATTGGCCTGGAATCAGCTAATACTAGAGGTAGTGGTACTTTCTACATCTCGGGTGCGTCTTCCTGCAGCTCATTTTTTTTCTGGCAAGGTTTGGCACTTTGCACTCTTATTGGGCTTCTTTTATGGAGAGCTTTTTTTTCTATCGTCACCTTCTTGCATATGATCCGCCCCTCTATATGCACCTTTTGCCTTCCACCCCACATACTTCCATACACACTACACATACATACATACACATATATGCCAGCTTTCATTTCACTCTCCCAATGCCCCATGACGATCCGAGACTGCAAATTACTGCAGGTGTCTCCAGCGTTGGCTGGAGCATCTCCACTCACTGCTACTGTCTCAAGCCTCAAATTGCTTTTTCTACACTTTACCGAAGTTGTCAGTAGGAGGTCACACATGAGCTGTCCTAACCACCGATGGAGACAACACACACGGCTCCAAGCTACGGGCGATCGACGTTACTTCTTTGAAATATATTTCATCACGCCGAGACAAATTCCAGAGTCAAGCTGCCGTGTTGCACATGGGTATGCAGATGCAGAGCAATCCAACTTTATTTGACTGCCACCTCACAGTTTCATATCATTTCCAACACTCCTCCTTCTTCAAGACTCTGAAGAGTACATGCGGATCATCTATAAGACCAGCTTCAATTCCTGCGGAGTATAACGCCATTCCCGAACCCGCTCCCCACTGTTTCTCCTCCACATCACTAGCACTCAATCTCAGATCTAGCTTGAAAGCTTGAACACTTTCAGACCTTCTAGTACGAAATCACCATTTAAGATGTCTTATTCATCATACAGTTCTGGCTCAGCTACATGGCAAGAGAAGCTCGAAGGTAATGAAGCAATTCGTGCTATGAATACTGAACATCAAATTGACTAATTCCCTCAAGAGAGATGTCGCGAGGCACAAATTCGTCCTCCAGTATTTCAGATCGTGTCAGACAGAAGAGGTAATGTTCTTTCACCTTCCACTCAAGACCGAGTCTCCAGATGACCGACTCTAACACTTGTTTCAGGTGGACGAACAGCATGGTCTAGCACAGTAACTGTACAGGGCCAGAATATTTCTGCACGATTCTGGTACGATGGGCAGTACGTCAACAATGCGAAAGAGGATGCAGCAGAAGTGGCACTCAATCGTTTGACTGGATCGAGCCCAACCTCACCTATCCAAAGTCGAATGAGTGGTAATTACAACATGACCTAGAACTACCAACACTGCGGCCGACGATTCAATTTAGCCTGTAGGATAAGAGATGATAATAGGATGATTTGCCGTTTGCTGCAGCTTCGGCAAGAATGGGCGAATGCCAATAATACTTCAGGCGTCGGATGGGTTTCGCCGTGGATTTTCACAGGACAGCAAGGGCGCTGGAGTTTGAATGCGTACATGTTATTCCCAACAGTTTTCCGGATATCTCTTTTTTCTTGGGAGGTGGTGTGAAAAAGCTTGTTTTTTTTTGGAGATATGGAATATCTTTTATCTCTTCGAATCATGGAATGGTTCCAGAACTTGTTACTAGCAATAAAAGTGGATGTTCTCTTTGAATTATTAAGTCTTGAAATGAATTAGATACTCACTTACACATCGATTTATGACCTGTGTGGTGGTTATTCAAGTGAAGTTCTTACTATCAAACGTGCAAAAGTAGAGGTCGACGCCGTCACAGGGACTCGCTGTCACCGTAAACACATATCAAACTCCATAAATGAGTTAAAACGTGTTCTAGCCCTGATCCATGTTGTTTGACAAGAATATTCAGACCCAGCGTTATGGTTCTGTGGTTCAGCCCAAGAAAGATCGTCATTGCCAAGATGAATTTGATGCCTTATTAGGCAGCCACACGAAATTTTGGTTAGTGCAGTGCATCAGTTCGAAGTTGATATCAAGTGCGGAGAAAGTATCTGGATTTCACAACACCCACAACCATGCCTCCACGATTGAACTTTCACAGCGCAAGCAGGTCACTGACCTTTCGACCACGAACAGTTGTCGCACCTCGAAATCCTGCTTTCTTCAAAATTACCCCGGCAGTACGTCGAGGTTTCGCAGAGGGAAAGCAACCTCCAAGAAATGGATCTGATGAAGATGTAGCCGGCCACGTCAGTGAAGAGGCAAGAGACATGGCTGAAATTACTGGAGAGACTCCTCCTGATATGGGAAAGAGTACAAATGTTCAAGAGGTATTTACGTTCTTTTCTGGGGGTTCAATTTCGCCAATCATATTTGAAAAATGAAGAAGCATTGTGATACCGGAGAATGTCAGTTACTGACCATATGCACAGATTCTTAAGAGAGACCAAGAAGGAAAGGATAAGGCCCCAGAAGTTATCAAAGAAGATATCAAAGATACCCAATCCGCGTCTGCCCTCTCCCAAGAAATCTCCTTTGCCAATCTCATGGCTCTTGGTCGTCTTGGTCATTTGGAAAATGGCGCGAATGCCTCCGATCTTACAATCGATGGTCACAAGTTTGGACTTCCAGAACTACCAATTCCTTCGAACAACAACCTCAAATATAGATACGATCCCGTCGTTTCGCAGGTTACGAACATGATGATGCAGCACGGCAAGAAGAGTGTTGCCCAGAGGGTAGGCTCGTTAGTTCTTTCCTTTTGCGTTACTCGCTGCGCATGGGATTTTTGTCATGACATTGCGGAATAATTTGCTAATTTACAATGTTTTCAATGCAGAACATGTCTTTCATATTAAACCATCTCCGAACCGCCTCCCCACCCACACCCAACCCCGCCAAACCCCTCCTTCCGGGCACACCCCCACCATCCCACCTACCTCTCAATCCCGTTCTCTATCTTACTACCGCTATCGACTCCATCGCTCCTCTCTTACGTATCCGTTCTCAGAAAGGTGCTGCAGGTGGTGGAGCTTCTCTTCAAATTCCTGTACCCTTGGGTGTTCGACAGCGGAGAAGACAAGCTATCAAATGGATATTAGATTCGGCCAGCAAGAAACAATCGAGGAGTAGTGGGCGTGGAATGTTTGCACAAAGGTTTGCAGAGGAGATTATCAGTGTGGTGGAAGGCAAGAGTTCCGTTTGGGAAAAGAGGAATTTGGTACACAAGACTGGTACGAGCGCGAGAGCAAATTTGACCTTTTATTCCCGAAAAAGGAGGTGATGGGTTATCAGATTGGGCACGGCATGGGATACGGGTGTGGGAATGGGTATATTTGGTGCGGTGGGGCTGTAAAATTATTGTATTATGACATTGAAAAAATGGTACAATGCTACATGATACTTGGGGATGCATATGATATCAAAATCTATCCATACATTTTGCGGCTTTTGTCGTATTCAACTTACCTCTTTTCCCAACCTCGTCACTTTAGCCCTCGCATCTCCTTTTCATTTCCTAACTCAATAAAATGACCTCACCTCTGCAAGTCTTGCTATCCGATATCGTTTTATTGTTTCCTTTTTATTGAAAGCTTGAGCTCTATTGAAATCGCTACCTTGCTATTGGCTAATCCGTTCTGAACTGAGCGGTGAGCATTACACATACTCACCAATTCCATGAATTTTTGCAGCCACACTTCGCAGCTACAATGGATAGCTGGAGGTATTCATGGATGGATACCTGGATATTATGCGCTCAAGGTTATCATACATTAGGTAGGTCTTGAGACTTGGCGGTGAGGATATGAGGACGTTGTGATGTGGTGTATACGGTACGGGGTCCACGGTATCGTTGCTTTTTGCGGGCGCGAGAAATTGCTTGCTTTGTATGGCGTGGCACGGGATTGGAGGATTAGGGGGGGGAGATGCTGGGTGTGTATGTTGGTGAGAACTGGGGCGCTGGATAGTGTTCCGGCTTGGGGGTGGGGGTGGGATGGATGGGATGGGATGATATGATATAGTTTTGATTTCAGGGGAGAATGGAAGGTTGGGTTGGGATGGGTTGGGTTGGAGTATTGCACGTGCAAGTCGTGGGGATGTTTACTGGTAGGATGGATAGTGGTAGTAGTATGTATAGTGCTGACTGATTAAGAGAGTGGACAGATGGATTTCCGTGGGTGCAAACAGTATGTTAGGATGGAGTGGTGAGAATGGGAGGGAAAAGGAGGGGAAAGAAAGAAAGAAAGGTGGAGATAAGGTTGTTGCAGCCGGTAGTAGCAGGGCTGAACTAGGTATGAAAGAGGAAAGTCGAAAAATCGTTTCGACAACAGGTGTGGCACGCACTTGTGGATAATGGGTCGATGTTGGTACTTGGAAGAAGGTATGCATGTACGTGTCAGTGTTATTGGAGGTATCGGGGTGGGAATTGTGCTATCATGATTAGGTATGTGGCTCAAGACGCCTTGTTGGATTCACGTTGAGTTGGAGTTTCGAGGGTGTTTCAATGTATGATGTATTAGGCAGTTGGAAAGACTTCTGTGTAAATTGTATAAGATCTGTGGTTGGGTATTAATGAACTTGAGATTAAACATGCCGCTGTGGTGTTGCTGAATGGTGTCCTAAATGAATTCGACTTTCCGATGCAATATATCCATACCAACGAGACTCCTGATCGAGATCAAGAAGTGGTACTACCTACCCAAGATCATTCGATGATCTGCACGCGTAAATTGACCGTCTCCGAGAGATTTTCGATATTTCAGACCTGGGTAGATGATCCGACAGATATCCGAGGTATCTGTCTCTGTATCTCGGAGGACTTTGGGGGGATTTTCCTGTTTGGGGAAGATGGAGGGGTACTTACTTACTTGCGTTGGAGGGTGGTATACCGCTTGTACAGGGGAGGTACATACTAGGTAGGTAGGTATACATGTGCTTTGGTGAGAATTGTTTGCGGGATGTTTGTGGAGGACTTTGGGGATGATTCGATTTGTCAGGAATTGAGTCATGCTTTGCGGGATTGGTGATGATGCGATGGATTGGGAAGGGTGATTTGAGAGTCTAGAAGTTGCGACCGTGTAGAGAGTCGCGAATGGGTTGGCGTGCTGGCAGGCTTGGTACTGGAGCCGAGCGAGGGGAGCGTGGTGTGTTTTTCAGCTGTAGGGCAGGCAGAGATGGGGAGGAGATGGAGGGAGGGGAATGACAGGATGAACGAGGTGCCGGTATGCGATGCCAAGGGTTGGGGTGGTGCATGCAGTCGCTGGTGTTGTATCGTGGAGATGGGAATTGGGTGGAGTGGAGTGAGGATGAGGTGAGGCGAGGCGGGATTGGCACGATGATGGATTCGGGAAAAGAATGCTAGGGTGAGGATAGGTAGGGAAGCAAAGCGAGAGATAAGACTTTCTTGTCGTGCTTGACAAGTCTTGAGGAAAGGGTTCGGAAAAGCTTGAGGGGAGAGGTAAGGCAGTGAGTGGAGCCAAGAGGAGGTTCATTAACATCCATGGCCAAGATACTGCGCCTTGGTTGTGGCGGTCCCCTTTGTATCATGCTGTATGAGGATTCGGGCTGGGATGGGGGATGGTGAAGAATGGAGGGGATTGTGACTAACATCAGCATCTGATGGGGATAGCACGAGGATAGAAAAGCGAGCAATGAAGAGATGGGAAGCTGGAATTGGTGTAACTATTGATGGAAATCTATCGGATTTGTAAGGGAACAAAGGGGCTTGGCGTTTTCGTGAAGGGGAATTGGGTGGTATGTGGTATGTGGTGGTGACATGTAGTAGTAGTATGTGGTGGTATCATCTATCATCATATCATATCATCATCGATCTTTGATGGTTCAATTTGGAGGAAGAATTGATGTAAATGGTTAAATGATTGTATCTACCACCCACTCACTCACCTCCCTCCCTCCCTACCATCCCATCCATTTCTGATTTCCGCCCGCTACGGTTTGGGCCGCTTGGTAAGATCATCCTCCCCCGCCTTTACTGGTCTGCAGCTAGAGAAGGCCAGGGTATAGCTTCCCGTGCGAAATTTATATACTATTTATTGTATTCTTTGATTGGGTAAGATCCAATAGTTGTTGCAAAATTTCTTATTTTGATTCATTTTCCGATCTCCCTTTGGAAATCAAAAGACAGTCCAATTCGTATTCGCCCCCTTTTCTCAATTGAAGACTCAGAATTGAAGACTCAGAATTGGGAAGATCCTGCAAAATCTGGAACATCCGTCTACATTTTTCATCAAGGTTCCCATCTACGGGTACTATCTTTTCATTCACTACCTACGTCCAAGTTCGCCTCCTTCACTTCACACAGAAACAAAAGAGAAGAAAAGAAAGAAAGAAAGGAAAAGGAAAAAAGACCATTCATTCTTCACTTGATAGGCGGGTGGGTGCACGTGTCAATTCTTTGTTAGTATTATTACATAGGTACAGTACATATTCCGTACCTACTCCGTACCGTTCTTTTCACATTCATACTACTTTTCCGTCCCTCTTTTATTGAACATCTAGAACTTTTAATGCGAAAAGGCTCCAACAATTCATAATCCCATACAAGCCATACACTCACACACACCCTTACCATACCATACACACACCCCCATTCCCAAATACCATACGTACAATATCATACCATCCCATCCCATCCCATCCCATCCCATATCATACCATGTACCAAGAATTAAAATAACACAACATCCATTCTCCACCTTCAACTCAACTTCAACCCCTACACAGAATCCAATCCATTCCAATCCAATCCAACGCAACCCAATACAATACATAATACACAACATCTTTCAATCTGCAAGATTATCTTCTCTCAAGGAACACTACTTTTCAATAGATCAGTTGATGCATTCATCACTTTCTAACTCTCTTCCCATCACTGCAGAACATTTCTATACTATCCTTCACATCACACGTACCAACGACCGGGGCTAAAGCAATGTCCTGAGTGCGAATCCAAAGATCATTCCAACAACCACAATGCAGTATCAAAAACTTCCTTGGTCATCAAGAAAGTTTCTAAACGGCTAGCCTCACATCTATGAGCATTCGTTGCTCTTGCCCTATTCGAATCTTGCAATTCCTACCGAGTACCTAGTTAGCCTCATTGCACCGCCGACGGAACCCTCGAAGAATAACAACAATACAACAAGTTTTATTATCTGCCGCTTCGGGAGCATCTGCAGAATCGCAAATCCGATCAAACCCACTAGAATCATTAAATATGGCGAACAAAAACATGTCACAGGAATCGGCAGCAGAGCAGGAGAGACAGGAGGTGCTCGCATTGTTGCATTCGACCAATGCTAGACCCAGAGGCTCGGTGAGCTCCACCGGCTCGGGGCATCGAGCGGGTGGCGGGAGAAGTTTATCGCCATTTGCGAATATGGCTAGGTCTCCTGTCCGCAGTATGTTAGATATTGATAGCGCTCCAGCAAAACCTCGACATTCATCTATTGGTGGCACTAGTACAGGAACCACTGCCCCATTTCGAAGTATGCTTGATGTTAAAACCCCGTTGACAACGGCGCCTGCGGTACGAAGTATGCTTGATGTTTCTTCTACTGCGCCCACAGCATCTGGTTCTAGAAGTGCGCAGACTTCCCCAACAACGATAAATCACAAGACGCATGCCAAAAATGGCAGACAATCGAGGAGTTCGTCAGACGCAGCAGCAAAATCCACCATCGAATTTGGACCTAGAGCAATCACCAGGGTCGACCCTAACGAATATCAATTCTCTGGCTATCTACCAAGCAACCCGGGCGGTCCTTCAGTCCCAAAACGCAACACGCAAGCAGGAAAGAGGATTACGAATTCAATGGCAGAGGTAGTGAGATCAGGCGTAGATCTTAGCGGCTTTGGAGGTGGGCGTGATCGGGAAAGACACAATTCAATCGGAAGTGCTAGTGGGATTGCGGCGAAATCAAAGTCGCCTCACAATCGGTTTTCCCCACGTTCTAGTTCCCCAGTTCCCACAGATCCTTCGAAATATGCCGTTTTGGACAACGGTAAAGTTATAGATGTCAACAGTGCTTATCAACGATTGTCGGATGCCAATCTTGCGCGATCGAACGGTGAATTATCCATGTTAAGTCAAAAGAGCAGGCAAAAGCGGCCAGATAATGAATATTTCGATATTAATGGACCTCGACTGAAGAAAGACTATGTGCCAATGGAGGGCGAGGAAAGCGTCGTTGATAGTACAGATGAATCGGACGATGAAGGTCCCAGAGGGCGCAGAAAGAAGGCGAGAAGTGTAGATGG